GCTCGGCCTGTTTGGAGGCGGTGCCTGCCGGTGGGCGGGGCCAAAAGATGGGACGATTCCAGGGGTCGTGGGTGGGGCCGGTGTAGAAATAGATTATATCAGGGGCTGACGGGAGGGCGGGGCCTATCGAAGGGGCGGGGCCTAGCTATGGGAATACAGGGGTTGTGGGAGGGGTGAGTTTGGAGGCTGGGTGGGGCTTGTCTACAGGCAGCGCAGAATTCTAAGGCTGCTCCGGGGGCTGTAGTAGGAAGACTAGTGAGTGGGCGGGGCCAAAATGGTCCTGTTCCAGGACTGTGGGCGGGGCGGGGCTGGAGAGTGGGCGGGGCCTTTAAGGGAGCGGGGTAGAGTTGATAGGAGGATCCAGGAGCTGTGGGAGGCTTGTGATTGGAGAGTGAGTGTTTCAGAGCTTTTGATGGGGGCGGGTCTGGAGAGGGGGCGGAGCCTATCGGTGGGGTGGGGCTGAATTATGGGACTGCCTCCGGCTGTGGAGCAGAATTACTGGATTGCGCCGAGGGGTGCGGGACATGGACTGGAGGCGGGGAGTGAGGTTAGAGGATAAGTGGGGATCTTGCTCTGGGAGGGGCTGGCAGGATGACTAGGGGCTGGAGGGGGCAGGAATGAGTCCCCAACCTGACAGGGAGGGACGCATGGAGGGCGGGGCTGGAGAGGAGGGGCTAGGGAGGAGGGGCATCTGGGGAGGGGGAGGGGCCCGCCCCGGGGCGGAGCTAATAGGATGGTCTTGTGGGCGGGGCCAATTTCGTGGGAAGGCGGCGTCGGTGGGCGGAGCCTGTTCTCTGGTGGGGGCAGTGCTGAGACCTGATTCTGCATCTGTCGGGGGCTCCCAGAACTTTCTATCCCGAGCTCCCTGAGCGTCCCACAAGTGCTCGGTGTGGAGTCTCCGTGGGTCTGGTTGGCTGGCTCCTGTCTCTGCCCGTTCCTGTTGGTCTCTATTTGCCAAACTTTTATTTGAAATTGAATTGAATTGACATAGTATTTAGCCTTCCAAAGTGTTCAGTGAAGCGCGTTCTGGTCTGACAACCCACCCAAAGGTGCAAACCATCTCTCCACAGTCTAATTCTAGATTTCTCTCCACTAAGTGGAGCGATCCGTCCGTCTGTCTGGTCTCTATCGGCCTGGGCCTCTGCCCATGTAGCCGGCGCTGCTGAATCTGCCCTGTGTCCGGGGGTCTCCTCTTGTCTGCCTGTCTGGCACTGGCATGCCGTCTGCTTTGTTCTGGTGTGGGGGTTTCTGGTCGCTTTTCTGACTGTGTTCTGGGTGTCTGCTGGGGTCTCTATGTATTTCTGCCTGACTTCCAACAGGACTGTGTGTCTGTGCATCTGTATGGTGTGTGGTTTTAATCGTGCAAGTCTGATGACAGCCATCTCAACTCTTGTGCTCTCTGTGCTGGTGGGTGACGTCTGATGTCACAGCCCTTGTTCTGATTTGGGGACATGCCTGTCCCTGGGGCTTCACCTGCCTCATGCGCACTGTGTTCTGTCTAAACAGCTCTCTGGTGCCCACCCACTAGACATTGGGCGTCTAATTGCTGGGCATTTGTGGGTGACTATGGTCAGACTTACTCCCAGGCTGGCTGGGAGGTGTCTGTCTGCTCTGGGTCAGCTCGCTTATCCAGCTGTGTCTGAGTGCACAGCTGGCTGTCCCCTCAAGATCAATCTCTGGCCATCCAGGGCTCCCTGTACCCCTGCTCTGGGTCCCCACTCCCCTGGTCCTGTGAGCTGTCACATCTCACCTCTGTCCTTCTCTTGGGGCAGGCTGTGCATTTGTAAAGTTCTCGTCCCACACTGAGGCTCAGGCAGCCATCCACGCCCTGCACGGCAGCCAGACCATGCCGGTGAGTGACAGCTGGGGATGGAGGGTGCGAGCCCCTGACTCTTTTTTTTTTGGACAGGACATGGAGGGGGGGGCAGGGTAGGGGTGGGGAGGCATAATTCTGGCTGGGGTACATTCAGGCAAACTGTGTGGTGTATCATAGCAAACAGCGCGGGTGTGTGCTTGATGTGACACTGTTGCGTGTGAGTGTGCGTCCGCAGTGTGATGGATGGGCATGAGAAGAACAAAGGTCAGGGCAGAGCGATGGCTGAAAGCCCAGGACCACAGATTTTCTTCTAGGACGATAGGGATCCCTGGGGATTTTAGAGCAAAGGAGAGAGCAAGGCCGGGCAGTTGAAATTTTTGTGTGTGCGTGCCAGTCCTGGGGTTTAAGTAAACTCAGGGCCTGGGTGCTGTTCCTGAGCTCTCCAGCTCCAGGCTAGTGCTCTACCACTTGAGCCACAGCTCCACTTCCAGCTTTTTCTAAGGTTAATTGGAGATAAGAGTCTCACGGACATTTCTGCCCAGGCTGGCTTCAAACCATGATCCTCAGATCTCAGCCTCCTGAATAGCTAGGATTACAGCTTGAAAATATTCTTATAGATCAAGGTGGGGGGGGTGAGGAGGGGACAGATAAGGCCTGAGCCCCTTATGGAGGCTGAGCCACAGTCTAGGATAGGGAAGCTTGTCTTGAGACTTTATTAAGAGTTCTTGCTTGGGGCCGGGAAGGTAGCTCAGTGGTAGAGTGCTTGCCTAGCACGCATGAAGCCCTGAGTTCCATTCTGCAGTACCACATACAGAAGAAGCTGGAGGTCGTGCTGTGGCTCAAGTGGTAGAGTGCTAGCCTTGATGAAAAGAAGCTCAGGGACAGTGCCAAGGCCCTGCGTTCAAGCCCCAGGACTGCCCCCCCCAAAAAAAGTAGTTTTTGCTTGTGTTGTCATTTGGTGCTACTGAGATTCGAACCCAGAGCTTCACACTTGCTAGGCATGTGCTCTATCTTTGGGCCACTCCTCTGATTTTTTTTTTCTTTTGCTTAGTGCCGTTCTGAACCACCGTCACCAACCACCACCCTCCCTTTGCCTCTGTATATAGCTGGAGTTACAGATAGGAGCCACTATGCCTACCTTCTTTTATGAAATGGGGTCTTGATAACTTTTTTCTTTTTACCCAGACTGTCACGATCCTCCTACTCTTTGCATCCTGAGTAGCTGGGATTACAGACATGAGCCACTATACATGGCTTCCTGGCTCCCCAGCTTCTCCTAGCACCCCAGCCATGCTAGAGATGCTTTCAATACCTACTCTGTTGCTGCAGGAGTCCCAGCTCTGTGAGCTGAGGACCTGTTCTCGGGGTGTGACAGCTCCTGGGCCTGAACTGGAAAGGTTCTGTGGGACCCCAGAGTCCTTGTTACCTCCTGGCCTCCTCTCCCTCCCGGCAGGGTGCCTCCTCCAGCCTGGTGGTCAAGTTTGCCGACACAGACAAGGAGAGGACACTCCGGCGCATGCAACAGATGGTCGGTCAGCTGGGTATCCTGACGCCATCCCTCACCCTGCCCTTCAGCCCGTACAGTGCCTACGCCCAGGCTGTGAGTGACCCCAGCGGCTGGGCTCTGGGTCCAGCAGGGCTGCTGAGACGATATTGGGTATCCGGCTCAGTCTTCCTCCCTCTGTTCTAGCGGGAAGGGCTTGTGTCTTTTACCAGATCTCTGTCGCCTAGGATCCTGTCCTGATTGTGGCTGAACCCCGGAATCCAGGCTGATTCTGAGTCTCAGTTTCCTGCCCATCCCCACCCCCACCCCACCCTTAGTCCCTGCCCAACAATGGAGCCTCACTCCTAGGCTGAAACCTCAACCCTGAGCCATAACCTTGGGCTGTCTCTTGACGCTGCAGTGAGTTCTAATCACACATGAAGATCCAGCCTTCCGCTAAGCTCAGATCCTAGCTGCAAATCTAGCTTAGGTGCTATTGTGGCTAAGCCTCCAAATCCAGGCTGATCTCAGAGATCTAAGTTGGATGGACGCTGATCCCAGGCTGACCCTCAGTTTCTAACTGAGCTCTGATCCCAGGCTGAGTCTTCCTTCCAGACTGGCCCCTGCTCCACTTCTTTGCCTGGATCCCAGGCTGAGCCACCATTTGTGACTAGTCCTGAGTGCAAAATACCCGGCATGCAATTCCCCCACCCCAGTTACTAAGAGACCAGGCCTCCCCCCTCCCTCTGTGAACCAGGATCTGGGGGGGGGATGGACTGAGCTTCCTGACCACCGCCTCTTCACCCCCCAGCTCATGCAGCAGCAGACCACCGTCCTGTCCACTTCCGGCAGCTACCTGAGCCCTGGCGTGGCCTTCTCACCCTGTCACATCCAGCAGATTGGCGCCGTCAGCCTTAATGGGCTGCCTGCCACCCCCATCGCTCCTGCCTCTGGTGAGCGGCTGCCAGGGCCCTGAGGGTGGCTGGGGAGGGATCTGCCCTCCCCACAGCGAGCGGCCAAGGTGACCCCTTTCCACCCGCAGGGTTGCACTCGCCGCCGCTGCTGGGCACCGCCGTCCCCGGCCTGGTGGCTCCCATCGCCAATGGTTTTGCTGGAGTTGTGCCCTTCCCTGGTGGGCACCCCGCCCTGGAGACCGTGTATGCCAATGGCCTTGTGCCCTATCCAGGTAATTGGTGGTGGTTCCAAGGTGTGGAGGAGAGTGGCAGGGGTGGGTGTGGTGCCTCAGGAACCTCTAAGTCCCTGCGCCATGGTGTCCAGGGAGAGAAGAGGAGGGGTCTGAGCTACGTGCACAGCTGTGCACCAGCTGTGGCCAGGAAGATACCCAGCCCTGCATCCAGCTGGTTCTGGGTTTGAATTCCAGTTTAGTGATTCTCCACAGGTTTCTCTTTTTCTTTTCTCTTTGAGTGTGTGTGTGTGTGTGTGTGTGTGTGTGCGCGCGCGCGCGCGCGTGCGCATGCTCGTATTGGGGCTTCACACTCTTAGCTTGTTTCATTCAAGTCTCACGTTCTACCACTTAGCCACTCTTCCACTCCCATCTTTTTTGGGTGTTTAATTGGAGAGAACAGCTTTCCTGCCCAGACTGGCTTTAAACTGTGATCCTCAGACCTCAGCCTCTTGAGTAGACAGGCTTACACCCATGAGCCTCCAGTGCCCGCTTCGTGATTAATTTTTTGGAGGTACTAGAGCTTGAACTCAGGGCTTTGCTAATCACCACTTAAATCATACCTCCAGCCCTGTGCACTTTTGTTACTGTTTACAAAAGGGCTCACATTATGTCTAGGTAGCAGACTGAACTGTAGTTCTCTGGTTAACCTTCCTGTGCCTGGCTTATTGGTTGAGATGAGTGGCTAGCCTGGAACTGTGATCCTCTTGATCTCTGCCTCCTGAGTAGCTTGGATTCCAGGTGGGACTCACCTCACTCACTTCTTGTTAAATCTCTGAGCTCCCATTATTCTCATTCAGGAAATGGGGCAAATAGCATCAATCAAAGGATGAATTAACTACTGAGCATAAAACCAGTATGAACTCTTTACAGCACAAGGGACACAAGACAGAGCTGTAAATCTTAATTTCTTGCTGCTGCCATGCTGGAAGGTGTCATACCTCTTCATTCACTTCATTCATTCATACATTCATTCACTGAAATGAATTCAGACCATGCTTTACCCTGCTCTAATAAATTGTAGGTACGACTTTTTTCTTTCCATACTTTTAAGACAAGCATCTTCTGAAACGTGTGAATTCAGTCATTTCTACCTTTGAGGTGGATTTGGTCTTCTTTTTAAAAAAATTATTATTGTTGGAAACTCTAGAGGGAAAAACCTTGTATGTTTCGCCAGTTTTGTGGTGCTTTATCAAAACCTATGGGGTAACAAGGTAGATGACTATACTGCACCATCCCAACCAGGAAATGAAGTCAGACAGGGGTGTTCACACCGTAATCCCAGCAATCAGGAGGCAAAAGGTAGGGAAATGTCAAGGTCCAGACAAAACTGGGCTCTCTCTTGAGATACCTTGCCTCAAGAATAAACAAATAAAAACAGGAAATTGGCCTCGGTTTGGTACAGTAAATTCCAGACCTTATTTGGATTTCACTTGATTTTGCGTGCCCTGTTTCCTGTGCCTTTTTTTTTTCCTGTTGGTCATGGATGGAGACTGGCACCACACCTCTCCAGTTTGGTGACCTGGGCAGCCCCTCCTCACTTTTCCTAGTGGGAGTCAGAAGGTCTCAGGTCTCAGAGGGTCTCTCGGGGGCATCTGAAGTCCCTTTGGAATCCGATAAACCTGGCTCCCAATTTGAATCTACCATTGTTTTGTCTGAGTGTCCGTGTGCGTGGGATGGGGGGGGTCTTTATCCCTCTAAGCTTGTATTCTGGGGGGTGGTCAGATGCATTCAAAGAGGTGAAACTGGGGGGTGATGATGGTTGATCTCCTTCCGCGTCTCGGTGGAGGTGGATAGAGGACTTCCGTCACCCCGCCCCACTCAGCCCCTCTGTCTGCTCCGCAGCTCAGAGCCCCACCATGGCCGAGACGCTCCACCCTGCCTTCTCCGGAGTCCAGCAGTACACAGGTAGGGAGGCAGCCCGGCCACGCCCACCGCGACCACGCCCACCGCGGCCACGCCCCTCAGGACCTCCTCATCCTGCCTTCTGATGCTCAGGCCCCTCCTCCCGCCCCTGGCCCCGCCTACTGGGGGGGACACAGTCCCTGGTCCTGAGAACAGCTCATCTCTTTAGGAATGCCCCCAGTCACGCCCTGCCCTCTCCTGGTCTAGGGAGGCTCCCTTAGCGGACCTGTGGCCTTGGTCCATCCTAGCTCTTGGTCCTGTCTCTTCTCCCTCTCTCCTCTCACATCCTGCCTTCAAGCAGGCCACGTCTCTTCTAAAGCCCCGCCCTGCTAAAACCATGCACCCCCACCACCACCTTTTTACTCTTGTTTCCTAGTTCTGTGGTTCACCCCTTTATTCATGGCCCGGCCCACTTCGTGTCCCTGGGTTCCTAACTCCACTCTGATCCCGCCCTTGGAGTAATTGCTCTTAGTCAAGGCCCGGGCTCTCTCTGCGCTAGAGCTGCGTTGGCCCCGACTTCTGTTGTAGCCCCGCCCCTTTCCCCGACGTCCTCCTCCAAACTCCACCCTGGAGACGTGGCCACGCCCACTTCCCTTGCCTTCGGCCCCGCTCTTTCCCACAGCTTCATCCCCACCCACAAGCCATAGCCCCGCCTCCGCTCTCCCACGCCTATGTCCCTGCCCTCCGTCACGGCCCCGCCCCATTCGTAGCCCCGCCCACCTTTTCCCACCGCTTCAGGCCCGCCCTTAAGTCATAGCCCCGCCTCCACTCTCCCACGCATTTGGTCCTACCCTTTCCCACGCCTCCGGCTCCGCCCACCGCCAGGCCCCGCCCTCAAGACGTAACCCCGCCCCCGCTGTTTCCCACGTCTCCGGCCCCGCCCCCCGCGTGGCCCCGCCCCGCCCGGCCTCACGCCCCGCCTCCGCCGGTGTCTGCTCCGGTCTCCGCAGCCATGTACCCCACCGCGGCCATCACGCCCATCGCGCACAGCGTCCCCCAGCCGCCGCCCCTCCTGCAGCAGCAGCAGCGAGAAGGTGAGGCGGCCGCGACCTCCCCCGGGCGCCTGCCCCGCCCTCCGACCCCCTGCAGATCCCGCCCGGCCGGTCCCGGGGACCCGGGGCTGCAGTTCCGCGCCAAGCCCAGCGGCTGGCCGTCGCCGCCCGTCCTCGGGACGCCGAATCTCCCCCCTCCTCCCCCCCCCCCCGAGCCCGCCCCGGGTGAATAGCCGCGGCCCCGGCCGGGCCTCTCCAGGGGACTGGGAGAGGAACACGTTTTTAGGAAGTTGGGGTGTGTCGCGCTAGGAGGCATCTGGGGTAAACTGAGTCCTTCCCGGCAAAGCCGCGGCTGTGGAGGCAGGGCCGGGGAGCAGGGAGAGGCCCAAGAGCGGAAGTCTAAATCCACCCTTTCTGACCTGCAACCTCATCCGGACGGGCTAGCTGTCCCGTGCCTCAGTTTCCCCATCCTCCACACGGGCGTCCATCCTGCTCATGAGGTGTTATGGGAAAGTTAAGACACAGTTGTCCCCCACATGTGGCATAGGTGCTCAGCACCTACAAAATTGCCGTCCTCCCTCTAATCCATCCACTGTGGAGTTGGGGTGTCCTGGGGAAAGGTGGGTAGCCATAAAAGCCCCCCTACCCCCGGAGGCCAGGGTGGCAGTGTGGGCCTGGACTGTGGACTGTGGTCTTCTGAGTTCTGGCTCTCCCTTCCCCTCCCCGTCTCCTCCCCTCCCCTCCCCTCCGCTTGTGCCTTTGCTCTGGCCACGCCCCTCCCAAAGCCTCACCCCATCCTTCGCTCTCTTGGGGAAAGATCGCCTTGGCCCTGCCCTTCTCCGTGACTCCGCCCCCTGCCCATGGCCCCGCCCATCCCATTTCCTTTTGTTCCTGGTTCTACGATCCTTCCTCTTAGCTAAGGTCCAGGCCCTCCTCCCTCAGTCTTGTCCCTTCTGTCATGGCCCCACCCCAACGCTCTCCCAGATCTTAAGCCCCGCCCTCCACGGCTTCCCCTCCTCCCCCATCACCTCAAGACCAGTTTTTGTGATAATAGGGCATGCTAACAAGGTGTGGGGGGGAGGGGTTGGCTAGAGGCGATTCTCAGGCTTTGAGGGGACAGTTGCTTTCCGATCCTAGGCCAGACAGTTATGTCTCCAGGGGGGCTCTATGCCTAAAGCCATCACTGGCAGCTGCCGTGGACAAATGTGGGGGGATTTCTCAGACCCCGCACAGCCCCTCTGTTTCCCCACCGCATAATGGCATCGCCAGAGGTGATAAAATCTCTTCTCCCCCCTCTTTTGGGGGGTGATGGTAGCCAGGTGTCCTCCTCCTAGTATCTGCTGGAACTGGGAGGGACCCCCGTGGGGGGGCTGAGACCCACTCCCCGTGGATGGAGAGCTTGGTGATGCCCCCCTCCCCCAGTACATCTTCCAAGAAGTCACCTCACAATGTGCAAAATCTCAAAACCCAAACTGCAGGGCTTGGGAGGGGACAACAGGTGAGTGTCACATCCCAAAGCTGGCAACAACATGCTCAAGAAGAAAGCAAGCCAGGAAGCCCAAGGAAATAGTTGCACAGCTTATACATATTAAGCAGTGAAGCTCCGCATGCATCCTGCAATGGATATGATGCTGTGAATTGAGAAGGACCTGAAGTTTGCTGGACCTTGGTGGGCTTACGCCCGTCATCCTCGCTGCTCAGCAGGCTGATAGCTGAGGATCCAGGTTCGAAGCCAGCCCAGACAGGAAAGTCTGTGTGATTCTTATCTCCAATGAACCATCCGGAAAGCCGGAAGTGAGGCTGTGGTTCAAGTGGTAGAATGGTCAGCCTTATGGGAAAGAAAAGCTAAGGAACAGTACCCAGGCCCTGAGTTCAAAAAGAAAAGAAATGGAGTTTGCATGTGTGGCAGGGCTGCAGTGTAAGTTCTGTGGACTGGCTGTGAAATCAGTTAGAAAAGGACGACCCCAGATGGGAACAGGTGTGTGTGTGTGTGTGGTCTGTGTTTCTATGATGTTCTATTCAGCTGGGTATAATTTTCTGCATTCACTCAAGTGTCTTTTTAAGGAACAAAATAGTACATCAACACAAAATTCAGGTTGCATGTAGAATTTCCCGGTCATAAGTCAAGGCCTGTTGGAACAAACTTGACATTAGAAAGAAGCCTTAGAGCAGGGTGTGGTGCCACGAACCTGTCATCCTAGCTTAACATAGGGGGTTGAGATTGGGTAGATCAAGACTCCGGGCCATCAAAGGCAGCAAAGTCCTAAGAGACTACATCTCAACAGAAGCTGGGTGTGATGGCTTATATCTGCCGTCCCAGCGACAACTGGAAGTATAAAGTAGGAGGATGGTGGTTTTAGGCACAAACCTGAGTAGAAAGTAAGACTCTGTCTCAAAAATAATCAGTGGGGGAGGAGGGAGTGTGCTTTGTTCAGCAAAGGAAAGGCTCTGAATTCAAACCCTAGTACAGTCAAGAAAAAGAAAGAAGAAAGAAGCATTAGCGACACTGGGTGTGATAGGTGGATGCAATTCGAGGCTAATCTGGGCAAAAAGTTACCAAGATTCTATCAAAAACCCGCACCTGGGTGGGCCTGGCAGGGTGCACCTGTGGTCTGAGCTGTGTGGGGGGCGTGGGTGTCCGCTAGAGCAAGGAGCGGGAAACCGAATTGCGTAGGTGACTGTAGGCAAAAGGCCCGGCAAGTATGTTTCAAGCGGCACTGGGCGTGGCTAAACCCTGGGGCGTGGTTCCAGTGTGTTGGGCGTGGCCCGGCGGCGGGGGTGTGGCTTCAGTTTGAGTTGGCAGCGTACAGTCTCGGATTTATTTTCTTGGGGGAGACGATTCATCGCGGACAAAGAGGTTCCCTAGCTTGTGGGCAGCAGGGCTGGACACAGGTCACCTTTTGGGTTGAAATCGGTAGCAGGTTTTGGGACTGTTTGTGGCTGGAGATTACTGAGGTTTTAAACTGCTATTTGTGTTTTATTTTTAGTTTTTTAGTTTTTTTTGGGGGGTCGGTCGTGGGGCCTGAACTCGGGGCCTGGGCGCTGTCCCTCAGCTCTTCAGCTCAAGGCTAGCGCTCTACCACTTGAGCCACAGCGCCACTTCGGGTTTCTGGTGGTTGGTTCATTGGAGAGAGAGAAAAGTCTCACGGACTTTCCTGCCCAGGCTGGCTTTGAACCGTGATCCTCGGATATCAGCCTCCTGCGTAGCTAGGATGACAGGTGTGAGCCACCGGCGCCCGGCAAGTTTTGTTTTGTTTTGTTTTGTTTTTGGGTAATGCTGGAGTTTGAACTTAGAGTTTCATGCTGGCTTGGTAGGCGGTCTGTCATGGAGCCACGCCCCTGCCACGCCCCTGACGCTTTTGAGCCACGCCCATGGCTCCAGCCACACCCACCTGCTTCCACCATGCCCACTGCTTAAGCCACACCCCAACCTGAGCCACGCCCATCTATTGGGCCACGCCCCTAGTGCTTTGAGCCACGTCCTTGGTACTGGAGCCATACCTCCCACCTGAGCAGTTTTGAGTTTATATTCTTTTCGTTGGTAAGGATCAAACTGAGGGCATCATGAACACCGTGTATTCCTGGTAACAGCTACACCCCAGTCTGTCACCCCATTTATTATTATTATCATCATCATCATCATATTGTGCTGGTGCTGGGGCTTGAGCTCAGGGCCTGGGCGCTGTCCCTGAGCCTCTTTGTGCTTAAGGCTGGTGCTCTACCACCTGAGCCACAGCACCACTTGCATCTCTTTCTGAGCAGTTTATTGGAGATTAGAGTCTCGTGGACTTTCCTGTCCCGGGCTGGCTTTGAAACCTCGATCCTCAGATCTCAGCCTCCCGAGTAGCTGGATGACAGGCGCGGTGCTCATCCCCACTTGTTTGCCACGACCGTCATCTTGACTTACAGAGCTGTCTGTTCCGTGTTCCTCACCTAATTCACCTGACTCTTGTAAATGGTCCTGGGGATGGCGGCCTGGTGCTGGCCGGAGGATGGGAGTCTCTGGGGGTCTGGGCTGGAGGTTTCAGCAGGGTGTCGTAGGCACCCGGAGACAGGGAGGCGTCCCCCCCATCTGCCCTCACCCCCTCCACGCCCCTCCCCGGGGTCCTCCTCCTCTCCTTGGGGGCTTTATGTCTTTCTCTCCCCCACCTGCAGGTCCCGAAGGCTGTAACCTGTTTATCTACCACCTCCCCCAGGAGTTTGGCGACACGGAGCTGACGCAGATGTTCCTACCCTTCGGCAATATCATCTCCTCCAAGGTGTTTATGGATCGGGCTACCAACCAGAGCAAGTGTTTCGGTGAGTGCCCGCCGCCCGCGTGAAGCATCTGCCCTGTGCACGTCCGAAGAGCCTACTGGGTGCACTTAGAAAGCGCCATCTTGCTGGGCGCTGGTGGCTCACACCTGTCCTCCTAGTTACTCAGAAGGCTGAGATCTGAGGATTGTGGTTCGAAGCCGGTCCCAGCAGGAATGTCTGTGAGACTCTTATCTGCAGTGAACCACCAGAAAACTGGAAGTGGCGCTGTGGCTCCAAGCGGTAGAACGCTAGGCTTGAAGGAAAAAGCTCAGGGACAGCGCCCAGGCCCTGAGTTCAAGCCCCAGGACCAACAAAAGAAACAAAACAAAACACGCCTACTTTGTGCCAGAAAGGTAGTTTAGAATGAGAATGCACACTCGGGAAGCACCTGCTGTGTGCCAGACATTTTCCGGGTGTCTGTTCAAGGACTTCTTTCATTCAACACCGACATCTCCTTTGCTTTGCCAGGCTAAGGTGGAGCCCAGGGCCTTGGCGTGGGAGGGATAAGCTCCGGCCACTGAGCCCCACTCTGAGCCCTTGGTGTCTTGAGATAAGGCCTCATTGTGCATCCCAGGACCTCAGGATCCTTCTGCCTGAGCCTCTTCAGGTGCTGAGATTACAGGCGTAACTGTCATACCCAGCCAACGTAGAAACAGCTTTTGCATCTATTTTGTGCAGGGGAAAAAAAAAAAAAACCTTCCAGCCTCTAAAGATATTCTTGGGTCCTGTAGAAGATTCTCCAATAAGGAACTAGTCCATACCCTCGTTAACAGGAGGCCACTATTCGAGGGGAGAATTCTCGGTTGGCATCCCGAGCTTAGAAGGAGGGGGAGTCTTATGGGACCTGGAGGTGCCATTGTCAGACAGGGGGTTGACTGGGGTAAGGAGGGAGCCTCCCGCCCCTGTAGGCATCCAAGTCCCGAAGCCAGGGCTGCTGCCGAGCGTCCCCAGCCAGCCTGCCTGTCCTCCGAGGACCACGCCCTGAGCAGCGGACATCCCCCCCCTCCCCCCGCCCCGTGCCCACCAGCATGTCCCTCTCCCCGTCTCCGCAGGATTCGTGAGCTTTGACAACCCCGCCAGCGCGCAGACCGCCATCCAGGCCATGAACGGCTTCCAGATCGGCATGAAGAGGCTCAAGGTGCAGCTGAAGCGGCCCAAAGACCTGGGACACCCCTACTGACCGCACCCACAGCCGCCCCGAGGCTGTGGGTGTGGCCCAGGTGAGCCGCCAGGCGGCCCCACCCCCCACCCCACCCCCCAGCCCTGGTCTTGTCCCACCCCAATTTGCACCCTGCGCTTTCTCTCCAAACCCTGGGGAAGGGGCGGGGCGGGGAGGGGAGGGGGACCATACTCCCAGGAAGCTGTAAGAAGTCTCCCAAGTTGGATTGGTGGGGACACAGCTGGGGGGAAAAAAAAAGCAACAAGACCCCAGAAAACCCTGTGCTCAGGGCTGGAGAAGAGGGCCGGGAAGGGTTGGGGGAGGTGGGAAGAAGCTAGGGGGCTCATGGAGGGGGTGGTTAACAGAAACCTTCTCAGAGAGGGTTTTGAGGGATGAATAGAAGTTCGCTGGGGAGACCAGTGTGGGTCTGGGGTCGAGGGGAATGGGGGGAAGTTTCTGTCTCGTCTCGTTGCTTCACCACCGAAAAGTCCTAAATCAGAGAAACAGTGTTTGAAACACGCACACCCCTCCCCCAGAGTCTGGGACCCTGAGACTGAACCCCAAAATGCACAGCTCAGCTTGGAACAGGGCTGAGGTGTGTGTGTGGGGGGGGGTGATACCGTGACAGCCTTCCTGTTCCCCTCCAGCCCCTCCTGCCACAGCTTCTAGTCCAATTCCTGCCCAAGGGGTGGACTAGACGCCTGCTCCCCATCATGCAAAAAACAAACAGGAAAAAGACACACACAAAAAATGCACAGCGACCCCCCTCCCCGAAGTTCATTTTGCCCACCGAGGCAGCTGTCTTTATCAGAGGTTTCTTGGGGAGGGGGGTTCTGTGGCAGGAGGGGGGTCTCATTTGCCAAATGGGCCTGGCTGAGCCTGGAAACCCAGCCCCCCCTTCTTTTTTTCACTGAAAGACCTCTGGACAAAGTCTTTATTCTTCTGGTTTGGGAACCTGGTGCCGGCTGGGCCGGGCCCAGGCCTTGGCACCCTGGGTGTCTGTGAAGCGCTCCCTGGACTGTGAGGCCCCGGCCAGCCCCGCGGTCACCGCTCACCCCTGCCTCCCGTCCGCACACACAAGGCTGCCCCAAGCCAACCTCCCGGCCGCTCGGAACTCCCAGCCGGCTCCTGCCGCCCGCCTGCCCGCCCCAGCTGGCCAGCTGCGCGCTGCGAGGGACACGGCCACGGAGGAGCAGCCAGGGACCAGGCCTGCCGCCCGCGGGATCGGGGAGGACGGAGACAGAAACCATGCTCCGTCCTTCAAAGCTCGGTGTGTGTGTGGGAGAGAGAAGAGGGGGTCTCTGCTCTTTTGGAAAAGATGGGGGACCCCTCTGCTTTCTAGACCTCCCCCCCCAACTTGTGTCCCTCTCCTTCATGCCCTTCCCACGTCCAACCCACCCTGGACTTTATCCCCCACCCCTGTCCAGTGACAACCATGTTTGGGGGCCAGCCCTTCCCCTCCCCACCCTGACTTGTGCCCTTCCCCCCCCCACTTCCCACTCCTCATCCCCACCCCCCCAAAAAATGTGAAATTACCGGAAGCCAAGCGGCGCGGGGAGAGAAAGGAAAAGGAGCCTGGTGGCGTGGCGTGAGCGTGGGGAGGGCTCCTGAGTTGGGAAGCCGTGGGGTTCACACACTGCCCCCCAACCGTGGGATATCTCTTTAACCCCTCTGCCCCAACTCGGTCGCTTTCCCAAAAGAAACCAGAACTTTTTTTTTCTTTTCCTATATATATATATCTACGCGTATAGATAGAGAGCTAGAGACAGTTTATATATTTTTGGAGTATAGTTCATGGGGCCAAATATTTACATCTTCCTTCAAGGGTTGACCTCGAACCCGTCACTCTGCGGGGATGAAGGGCCCGCTGATGCTGCCCCATGTCTCGGGCGGGGGTGAGGTGGGGTGGAGGGGGACCCCACCACCTCCCCAGTGGAACATTCATCCAGGAATCTGCCCACACGATATACCTCCAGGACTCTGGGCCCCCCAATTTCTGACCACACACCCTGGGCCTTTGGCCATCTTCGGTCCCTGCACTCAGTGACGGGTCTCGAACCCCTCCCCCCCACCCTTTCCCCATATCCCAGGGCTCTGCTTTCGCGGATATCGGCACAAAGAGACCCTCTTGGCTCCCCCTCTGCCCCCCCCACCTCTCAGTCATAGCCTTACCCGTGTGACCGATTGTCCTTAGCTTTCTGTCGGGGACAGACAGGGGCTGGGTGAGCCCCCCCGCCCCTGGCTGCCCCCTCCCAAGGGCAGGCAGCCATCCACCCTGCCACAATCACCAGCCTGGAATTTCAAGGTCTTGGAACCAAGATTGCCAAGTGTGTTGGATTTGCCAACCTAGCCTGACCCCTTGATCGGAGACCGTGAACTTGATCGTGACCTTCATACCTCTACAGAGATGTTTTTTTCTTTTTTCTTTTTTGGGTCTTTCTGAGCAGGTACAAAGAAGAAGAGGGGGAAAGAAAAACAAAGCAAAAAACACAAAAAAGGAGAAATTCAAAGCATAATGGATTTTTGTTTCCTAACTGGGGATGGGGGGGGAGGGCTGGGGTGGGGGGAGGGCGCCCCTGTAGAGCAAGCACATTGCCAACTTCGTCCCTCGTCCAGCCAGAGGGGCCTCTCTCCTGCCAAACGGAGACCCCCCTGGCTTCCCTAAAGATGCTCAAAAGCAGAACAAAACACACAACAACAACAACAAATCCTTTCTGTTTCTACCAAAATCTATTGACTGCCAAAAAAACAACCCCACAAACAGAAAACTACCACCACCAAAAACCACAGCAAAAAAAGAAAAAAAAAAAGGAAAAGGAAAAAAAAAACACACACAAAAAAACTTCTGACCAACTTGTTTCAATAATTCCAGCGTTTGATAATTGTCCTGCGATTCTTATTGCGTGCCTGTGTCCAGTCTGTGTCCGTGTGAAAGTGTATGCCGGGGTGGGGGGGTGGCAGTGCGAGGTGGGGGGGTGTCCCTGTGTTCCCCCTTCCCCCCCTTTGCCTGCCGAGCCCTCCCCGGCTGCTTGGGGTGTGTGTGCTGCTGTGCGTAACTAGTTCACGTTTACCGGCTGTAAATACCATTTTTATACTCCACACCCCAGACTTGTGTGATTTCTACGATGTACTTTATTTCTGCTACAAGTAATTTCATGACGTTTCAACTTGGACCAATTTTTGGAGACACACACACACACACACAGAGCGAGAGGAAAAGACATGGAGAGAAATTTGCGTTGACTTGGTTGGAATTTTGTGTCAAGAGAGGCCCCACATAACCCTGTGAGGCAGTATCCGGGTGGCATGGTCTTAAATGTCCAACAATGCCTCTCTTCGGTCTGGAAAAAAGAAAAGAAAAAGAAAACTTAAAAAAAACTTTATTTAATAAAAGTTTTACTTGCTAAAAAGCCGACTCTTACCTGATTTCCCCTGGTGTCTGAAGACTGAGGGTCCCCGGCTGGAAAGAAGCCCAGAGTTTAGGATGAGGGGTTGTGGCAAGAAGGGAGCCCATCTAAGGAAGTTGGAAATTCTCAAAGCAGAATTTGGGGGACCGCTGGGCTCTTTTTGTCGGGTTTGTCTCTGTGCAGTTACTGGGGCTTGAACTCAGGGCCTCGAGGCTCTATCTGAGCTTTTCACTGAAGGCTGGTGCTCTACTACTTGAGCCACAGTTCCACGTTCAGCTTTTTGATGGTTAAGTGGAGAGAAGAGTCTCACAGGCTTTTCTACTCAAGCTGGCTTTGAGCTTGCAGGTGTGAGTCCCCAGGGCCCAGCAGGACAAGGTCTTGTAACATTAAATTAACCTTGTAGCCATTGTGTGAAGTCAGGTGACTTCAGCTCATTCACAAAGCCACTCTGCTATCACCACTATCAGGGCTTTGATTGGCTAAAGGCCTCATGAATATGCAGATTTCTCCCTTTTACTTTGCTCCCATAGAGTGGAAAGAGAGGGGCGGGGCTGTGGGCGGGGTAGGGACTGTGGAGGGGGAAGGGTTGGATCAGTGAGGTCAGGACCTCCACCGTGGAAAAAGTAGACTAAACTCCTGCCTGATTCCATCTTTTGGATGGCTTCGCTTTGTCCATGTTACCATATACCTACTCTAATTTTATTATGGCTACTCCTCTTGCCGGGGAGACTAGCAAACATTGTATTGCCCATTCCCTACACTGCTTTGCCACTATGGGACTTCCTAAACATAGTAAAACTGATGATGGTCCGGAATATGTCGGACAAGCTTTTCAAACTTTTTGTAAATCTTACCAGATTTTTCACTCTACAGGTATTCCCTATATTCCTCAAGGACAAGAAATTGTTGAACAAAGCCGGGCACTGGTGGCTCACGCCTGTAATCCTAGCTACTCAGGAGGCTGAGATCTGAGGATGGCGGTTCAAAGCCAGCCCGGGCAGGAGAGACCGTGAGACTCCTATCTCCAATAAACCACCAGAAAACCGGAAGTGGCGCTGTAGCTCAAGTGGTAGAGCACTCGCCTTGAGCTGAAGAGCTGAGGGACAGCGCCCAGGCCCAGAGTTCAAGCCCCACCACCACCAACAAAAAAAAAAATTGTTAAACAAGCCAACGGGCTGTTAAAACACCAAATTTTTAAATTAAAAGGGGGGGAATTATACCCCTTCTCGCCTGTTAAAAAACAAAAAAGCGTGAGGTCAGGGGTGTTTGTCTCTCACCAAGACTTTCTGGACAGTTCCTATCACTGGAGCTACGCACTGTGGCACTTTTTTCTTTTTGTCAGTTGTGGGCCTGGGCGCTGTTCCTCAGCTCTTCAGCTCAAGGCTAGCACTCTACTACTTGAGCTACAGCGCCACTTCTGGCTTGTTCTGAGTATGTGGTACTGAAGAATCAACCCAGGGCTTCATGCATCTAGGCAAGCACTCTACCACTAAGCCACATTCCCAGCCCTCCACTTTTGGCTTTTTGGTGGTTAATTGGAGATAGCAATCTCATGGACTCTCTGTCCTGACTGGCTTCAAACTCAGATCTCAGCCACCTGAGTAGCTAGGATTA